ATTTGAACAAAAAGTTAAAACAAAAAACAGAAAAATTCACCATTATTATTCAATCATACCGTTTTGATGGGCTCTTCTGGACGACCCGTGGCACAATCTATAACCGTATGGATACCAACCAATGTTGCAGGTATTGTCTCTGGTTTACTAAGGTCTGCCTGCTCCAAAAATGAATATATGCATTAAAGGGTAATATTTGAAAAGGTTGAAACTTTACGCAAATTATAAATAAGATTTACGTTGACAACGGTTGCGCCCCAGTCACGGAGGAAATCGGCAGGAGTGGGTCTGGGCCTGACAAGGCACCTTACATCGTACCCTTCATCGAGTGCCCGTCTCACGATTTGTCTTCCAAGAGTTCCAGTGGCACCAACTACTAGTATACTTGTCGGTCTGACGGGAGTACCTGGAGCCATATTCACTGCCTGAGCACTTCCACTGGCACTGCATGTTACCAATTGTTGCACGCGCGGTTTCTCTGTAGGCAGGATAAAGAAAATCAAGAATATTTGAGATGGAAATTCCGTTTGAAGCAAAGTAAAAAAAAAATTGGGTGCTTACTGGTGGTGAGAGAGGTGTGGGAGGGGAGTAGAGTGTCCTGTGATATTGCCCGCCGCCATGACAGCGAGGTGGTGGTGGGTTTAGTGTGGTTGCGGTTGTTTAATATGCCACGTGTCGCTAGCTGAGTGGGAAGTCTCAACGCCATTGTTGTTTTTGCTCTGTGTGTTCGTACCCCCAAAAAAAAGGCAGGTGGAGAGAGGAGAGAGAGAGAGAGAAAAAGAAAAACAATGGATCTAAATCTTGCCACGTCGTTCATCAAAGTGGATTACGAAATATGCCACGTATACTTTCTGATTGGGGTGCCGCTATCCGGCTCGTGGCTCTGGCTCGCGCCATCCCCAACGACGCCGTTTCTGGTAAATGCCGGTTCTGAGGAATATTCATCCGCTTATTGGTGTGAACATTAAGCAATTTCCAGTAACACCAATAAAATGAAAACCAAACCAGCCTGTCAAAAATAAACAAGAAAGACTACCGACTATTTCATTCTGTTCCATAATTTTTTGCTGTACTTAAACATCTGTCTCTCAGTAAAACATTTGAGACAAAGGTATTTTTTCCTTGTCTTATTGGTTTTTTCTTTAAGAAACAGGGAAAAGAATAACCTAACAACTAATTTCAATCCTGAACCAATCTACCCATCCCAATTATTAACCTATCATTGCCTTACGGCAAAAACCCTCCAAAGTAATGTAAAAACACGAATTTTCTACTCGGTACCTAATTATGTGCCAACATTTACAGAAACTGGATGTCCCAACCTCAATTACCATTGCCAAGGCCTTTTGTGTACAATAGGAGGGAGCAATCTCCAATGTATGATCGTAAAAGAACCAAAGAATTTGAGGAAATAATTCATTACGGATTTGCCAACCTGATTCATCTTAGTCTGAAAAGAACTCTTCCACTTCAGGTTGTTCTTGTTTGGTTAACACATTGCTGTCCAGATTAGGCGGCTCCTTGAACCCACCACTGTTATCCAAATAATCAATATCAGTCCAATCTGGATCCTCATCGATAGATAGTTGTTCATCACTCTCTTCAATAGCATCTTTCCTGTCGTTTTCATTTTCATGGTCCTCAGGAGTTGGATTTTGAATAGTTTCAACTCCCTCAGCCTGACATATGCAGCTATCAGGGTTTTCATGAAACTCACCCCTGCCAGGTTTCATTAAACGAAGGGTGAAGTATCTGAGTAGATAAAATTCATATTAAAGTTGAAAATAATTTGAACAAGTACACATAATCGAGGAAGATATATAATATTCCAAATAGGCCACTCAGTGCACAACTGTACCTCTGACCATATGCTAATTTTTTTATATATAATTAAAAGTTTTAAACTTAGACTCATTCATTTTTTAATATTGACAGTGTTTTATCTAAGACAGGCTTTTTCTTTAGATCAAAGGTTTGATTTTTATTTTCACAATAAATTTTGAACTGTTATTGTTAGATATATATATATATATATATATATATATGTTGTTTTGTTATGTTTGTTTTTGCTATGACGAAATGCCTCTTCTCCTCGACGCCAAAAAATAAGCAAAGCTTGAGCAGCTCCACGTGACATGAAATGGAGCTTTGTAGCCAAAAGACACCAATTTCCACCGCCTTTAAACAAATTGAATTGGTCGAGTCATACAATTAAATTTAAAATTTAAAATTTTATAATTTAAATTTTAAATATTAATATTTAAAATTATTTTTTTTCGTACATCAAATTACGATATCATTTATAAAAAATATATATATGTTAGCTTAGATGCTTATTGTTTTTAATCAACCAAATCCAAATGAATCATTTTATATAATTAATTAAGTTAAGGTTTGCATTTAAAAAATTAGAAATTATATATTATGTAGGGTGTTTTGAATATTTTATTTAACCAACGCGCAACAACCCAATGATTTAACCAAGCCTTGGGTTTTGAATCATTGATTTCATCTAACAAACTAATTGTACTTAAAAGAGCTTAGTTAAGGCTTTTCATACTCATCTAGCAAATATAGGGCTTTCATTGTTGGGACTTAGAGAAGAATTAATATTTTAATTATTTAACAAATTAGTGTAGGTCAAAATAGTCTTCGTAGGGTTACCTCCAATTAAGGTTTTCTTAAGTGGAAAACTTAGTTTAATTTAGGTCCAAATTTAAAAGATTTCCTTTTTATTTTATCAAATCTTAAAAAAAAAGGGGCTTTTTGCATGAATGAATATTTGAAGACTTATTATTTTATTTTAAAATTTTAAAATAAAATTACTTATAAACTCACTTTTGCCTTGGTAATAAATTCATAATAATTAAAATTTTTATCTTAAATTTTAAATTTCATAAGTTTATTACAATAAATTTAATTAACAAAATCAAATTTAACTCTAGTGGCAATGCCAAATATCAAAACCAATGTTTTCAAAGTCATTCAAACTATATTTTTATTATTAAAAAAAAAAAAAAAGAAAGGAAAGAGAATAGCATAAGGCGAGTTGAATTTTAACAAAGCCCATCTTGTTTGGGCCTTTGGGCCTATAAATGAGTTAAGTGCAGTGATAGTATGTGGTCGGGCTTTACGCCTGTAACTGCCATTCAAAAAAGAAGCCGATGCTTTGCCGACAATGATTCTTTGAGACGCCATCCTTTCTACATCATTCGATTCTGTTGTTAAAAAAAAAAAAAATTCTATATATAGAGTGAGACTGATTTTTTTTCCAATAAAAAAAAGGGTTTCAAGGGAATAAAAGATGGGAGATTATCTAAAATAAAGTGGGTGAAGTTTTTAAATATTATCACATATCATTAATGTAGAATATATTTTTAAAGAAATTAATAAATTAATATAATTTAAAGAAATACAAAATAATTTTTTAATTTCATTTATAAAATTTAAAAACTCGGCTTTAAAGTATAAAAAAATAGGTTAAATTCTCAAATTAAATATTTAACAGTATTATTATTAATATAAGGCCCAACGAACTCCTCTATTACTATTAGCCCAAAAGAGAAAAACATTCCTCCTTAATTATTCTTTTGAAGGACCCAAGTGGCCTAACTTAATAATTTAATTAAAAATCCTTGCGTAATTAATCCACTGAATTTTTATGCAAATACACAGTGTATTACTTAAAAAAATTTGTCAATTAAAAAGCAAAAAAACCATTACTTTCAAAAAGTCTTTTTTCTAATCGAGGGGGGTGAAGATTAATGTTATTTTCTATAATTTTAGGACTAAATTAAAATGTTTTAAAATTTGAGAACCATGAGAGCTATTTACCCTAAAAAGGGCATTTGGTTTATTTATGGGCACCGCTATAAGGGAACAAAAAAAGCATGGGTCCAAAACCAAACAAAATCCCGACGGCCATCTGCGACACCGCACGAAGCATTAGTGAAGGGAAGCGGAGCTCATTGAGCCCCGAATTGGAATTGGATTGGCCCAACATCGAAGATTATCTCCCTTTCGGATCCTCCATTCAAGAACTCCGCGGCAAGCTTCGCCCGTAATTTCACTTCCCCACTCTTTTCTTTCGATTTTTTTTCAAAAAAATCAGTTAATTATTGATTATTGTTTTTGAATTGGTTTCAGACGGGATTTACTTGATATTTCTCCCCCTTTAACTGACACTGCTGGTGCCATTGTTGATGTAAGCTCTCTCTCTCATTGTAAAAGTTCTGCTAATTTTTAATAAAACAAAAAATGATTGGCTTGTTCTTGTTTACCCTAAAGTTTTGATCTTGAGTAGAGGTGTCTGGTGAAAATTTTTCAAGATTCACTCACATGGTGTTTTAAGTCGAATTCTCCTGAACCATGGAACTGGAATGTATATTTGTTTCCTCTTTGGTGTTTTTGGTGCGGCAGTTCGGTACTTGATTTTATTTCCTGTGAGGTTAGCCATTGTACTTCTCAAAATTAACATTGAATTGTTTGATGCGTGATGGGTTATGTTTGAATGAAGTTTGCTTATGTCATTTTTAGAGTTTAGTTAGGTAGTGTATAATTTGTTGAAATACTTGCTTTGTTTCTGAGTTTCTATTGTGCTGTTAAATCTGCAGGGTTATGGTTTTCACTATAGGATGGATAATATTTCCGTCGTCCTTCATTCCTGTACGCTTTCTACTCAAAGGGCACGATAAGTTGTAAAAGATGGAGGTGTGAGCTTTTATGCACTTCTAGTTTGTGCAGTTTTTATGTCTCTATGTATATGTATGCGTGTATGTGTTTGTGTGTGTGTGGTGTTGGTGGTTTCACACCATACTTATGAGGGAAGAAAAAGTTTATCTAAAATGGCAACTTTTGGCATTCTCTCTTTGGGATTTCCTATTTTCTGCTAGCAAGCTTGTGCTACCTGTATTCTAGCACATTTACCACATGCAAAGTTTATTCCTAGACTTAGTTAGTTCATCATCTTTTCTTTTCATTGTGTTTTGGTGGAGCTAATCTGCAGCTTCTTTGTTGCGTCCTGGAACCACTGTAGCATTCGGGTTTAGCTGACTATTCTTTCTGCATTTTATATTCTTCCTAGTTTCGTTGTCAGTATATCTAAGATTTTTATTTTTTATATTTTATTTCATAAGGTTCTGATCTGACTTTTATGTTGTCTTTGAAAATTAAAAGATATCTGAGCATTCGTTCCATGGTTTGAACAGGTGTTTGTGGCCAATCATACTTCTTTGATCGATTTCATCATATTAGAACAGATGATTGCATTTGCTATCATTCTGCAGAAGCAACCTGGATGGGTTGGTAAGTAGTACTGCAGACGCTAGCCCTAGCGCTAAAAAGGTTCAAGCAGGTCTTGAAAAGGTTGTATGGGACGGATATTTGAAGCTCTCTCGCCCTAGCCCTAGGCATAGAGAGCGAAAGTAAGACAAACCTATGCTATTCCTTTACCCCTTTTCCTGGTTATGATAACATCTCATATCTTTGGAACTTCATTTGTGGTTTATGTAGATGGCAATCACTAATATTGAATTTTCCCACCATGTGTAATACTTTTAAGTACATAAACGCATGGGGCATCTTAAATGGTAGCTGCAGCTATGGGTTCATGCTCAGTAGCTTGTGGTCTTGTTTTTAATACCACAAAGATATAGCTTTTGATGTCAAGGCATCAACAAATTCCCATCTAAAGCAATTTATCCATTCGCTTGCAACTAGGTCCCTTGTCCCTGTTAACTTACCCTTTAACAGGATTTTCTAGTCCTTGACTTACACAAGATAGGGACATCAATTTTGAGTAACTTTTGTGTATAATAAGATTATATTGTTAGATTTTTTATTTGTTTTGACTATTACATTTGTGATTCTGTCATTTTATTTCTTTAATGTGAATTGAGCTGCCAAGTATCCAACACTTAAAGTCTTGGCTGATTTTATACAAGCTGTTCATTTTTTACTTTATGCTTGGAATCGCTGATCTGGCTTCTGGAACTAAGAATAGTAATCTAAATGGGTCATTTCCCACTTGCAGACAACAATGCTTTATTGAATCCGTTCTTTGGTGACCGGAAGAAAACTGATAACCATAATGTACATTTGTTTAGTTTGTTAGTTGTCTTTATCATGATAATGAGGCATGTCTGCACCACTTGATTCTCATTTATGGGATGCTGATTTTATTAATATTAGAATTAGTTGGTTTGGCTGTCCATATTGAAAACAAGAGCCTCTTAAAAATTTGCATTGTACTAGTTTCAGGTTTGAGGTTTCTTTTCAAATAGAATAAGAAAGGTATCTTACAATTTTTGTTTAGAACTCCGGTCTTTGTTTCTGGACTTCATCTGGTTGATCCTTGGAATGGTTATTGTAGCTATTTTTTTTTCAACTTTATTTTTTAATGGCACTAATCAATTGATGATTTAATCATAGTTACTTCAAAATTTATTGTTTGGCCTCGATGCATGATATATAGCTAGAATCAGAATGAACGAGTTGACTGGTTAGCTGACGACAATGGCGTAAAGACTCCGCTGGTCTGCCCCACTTACATCTTTTTCCGATATACATAAAATAACGATTTGAAAGCTGCACGACAATAAAGAAAACCAATCTAAGAAAAGTTCGTCATTCACATGTTTGGATCAATCTCTCTGTTTGTATCAATTATTCATTTAAAATATGCAACCGTTGAAGTCAATTAGCCATTTTGGTTTCTTGTTGGAGCACTGGTGGTTGTGGTATTTGTCTTGATGAGAAAATTGTGGTCATTTTGGCCCCATTATCCTGCAAATGATGCCGGGATTGACTCAAATCATTCGTCAACCATTCAGATTTATCTTCTCCTTAAAATAAAACAAGTAGACTCCTATAATTCAGAACCCGGAATTCAATCATCGTTCATCAATTATGACAGATAAGAAAACCCAAGTTGCAGAAGAAGGTAGAATCTAAAACAGTAATAGAACAAGTTTTCATCCAAGGCAAAGCTCACATTCACACAATTGCTATATGTGAACGCGGAGAAGACAAAATTTGCCTCAAACGTGTCCAACCAAAACAAGACTAATAATACTCAAATGTCTGGCAGTCAAAATACTCAAATGTCTCCTTTAAAACTCAAACCAGATCCCAACATTTTCTTCTCTCCCACACCTCCGTTTTTCCACACTTCCAGCTTCCCTCCTGATGCAAAGCAACCCTGCCTAACCTAACTGACCCCACTAACAAAGAACAAGAAGAAGCTGCAAAAAGAAAGAAACATGGGTTTTGCTAAACTGTTTTTTCTCCTACCAGTTTTGCTCTCAGTTCTCACCCTGGAGTACAGCGCTGCTCAAGGCTTCAAATGTAGCTCTCCAAAAACATGTCGTGCCGTGGTTGGCTACATCACTGTCAACAACACCAACATCAGCGCCATTCAATCTCTTTTCAACGTCAAGCGCCTCAGGAGTCTCCTCGGAGCCAACAACTTGCCTCTTAACACTCGACGCAACCACACCATACCTGCAGAACAAGTCATCAGAGTCCCCATCAATTGTGTTTGCTACAACAACACTGGAACTTCCAACGATGGCACTATCTACACGGTTCAGCCAGACGACGGTCTATACCACATAGCAGCTGAGGTATTCTCGCGGTTAGTACTGTACCCGCAAATTGCAGCACTCAATGGGATTCCAAATCCGAATGTGATAGCGATAGGGCAGAAGCTGAAAATCCCGTTGCCCTGTAGCTGTGATGACGTCGGCGGCGAGAAAGTGGTGCATTACGCACAGGTCGTGCAGTCAGAGAGTACTTTGGGGGAGATTGCTCAGGAGTTTGGAACTAACGAGTCGACTCTGGCTAGGATTAATGGGATCAAAGCTGAAAAAGACTCAATAGCTGGCCAACTGATTGACGTTCCCCTCAGAGGTATAGTAACTTTCGTTTTACCCCTCTGCTAAAAGCTGGGTAGGTCTTGATTTGTAGACGGTGTATCAATTTGGTCCACGCCGCATCAAATCCAAATAGGTAAGTCTATATATATATATATATATTATTTACATTTTTATTTTTATTATTTATTTTATTATTTATTATTATTATTATTATTATATATTTTTTTCTTTTATTATTTTTTTTATCTTGAGTATTTATGTATCTATTAATATATATATATTTATTATTATTATTTTTTTCTTCTTTTTTTCTTATTAATATTTATGTATTATCTGTTATTTAATTTTAATTTATCTGTTAATTTTTTTAGTTTATCTGATTTATTTTCATTTGATTTTTTTTATTTTTTTATTTATTTGGCTGAAAATTAGATTGGATTCAATCAGAAGAGTCCATGTTGATTCAATGATTGAATCCCGATCCAAAGAGGCCCTATAAAAGGGACCCTCTGAAACATAAGCAAGACACAGAAAAACAGTGAGCAAAAGCTACTGATTGAGAGAAAAATGGCGAATAGAAAATTATAGAAGGCTAAGAAAAGATTTAAAAGTGTTTTAGGAACTAGCAGAAATTTTTTGGAGATTTTTGAAGATTTTTTTTTTGGGAATTTCTGGAAAATTCCATATTTCGATTAAATTTTTCGACGAAAGTTAAATTTTCTGGTGAAAATTCCAGCCAAGTTTGAAGTTTTCGGCCAGCTGCCCAATTTTCGGTGAAGGATCCCAGAAATCGACCAACTTTTCGGTGACCTTCCACAAAAAACCCAGATTTCGACAAAAAATTTTAGAATCCGGTGAATATTTAACTGGAGTTCTTCGACCTTTTTAGAGAGAAGCGAGAGAAAAAAAAAGAAGAGAAAGAGAGAGGAGAAGCTTTCTGCCGAAAAACGAAAGAAATAGCCTTATATACCCTCTCAAAACGACACTGTTTTTGCCTTAAGTGACCCAGATGATCCGTGCGTTTTGTCGAGATCCGACCCGACCCAAGCGTTGACCCGCTTCTTGACCCACGCGTGTTTTACCTCCCCGAGCTGTTAGCCGAGTCGAACCGAGCCGTACTCCGAGCTGCTCCAAGTTTTTTTTTTTGAATTTATTTATTTATTTAGTTATTTATTTTTATTTTTTTATTTATTAGATTAGGTTTATTTAATATTCTTTTATCTTTATTTTATTTTTATTTTTGTTTTACTTTTCTTTATTTTTTATATTTTTTTATTTATTTATCTTCGCTTTTATTTTGTTTTATTATTCTATTTTCTTTAAATAAAAAAAAATATTTTTGGGAAAAAGTTGAAAGTATCAATTTTTCTTAAAAATAAAATTTTAAAAAAGAGTTTTTGAGGAAAAGTTGAAAGTATCAATTTTCCTTGAAAATAAAAGTTTTCAAAAAATATTTTTGGAGAAAAATTGAAAGTATCAATTTTTCTTAAAAATAAATTTTTAAAAAAATCAATTTTTGAGGGAAAGTTGAAAGTATCAATTTTTCTCGAAATTAAAGTTTCAAAAAAATATTTTTGGGAAAAAGTTGAAAGTATCAATTTTCCCTGCACAAAAACAATCATTCTTTTCTTCTTTTTTTTTTTTTATTTTGATTTTGATTTTTTCTTTAAATAATCCGACGATAGAGCTTCTGCAAGTAAAACAATAGTTTTTCTTGCATACTCTTGAGGTGAGAGAATTTTTTTAATTTTTTGCTAAAAGTATTAGAGTCAATTGAGAATAATTTTTAATAACTAATTACTTAATAAAAAATTTTAAAGCTCATTGGATAACATAAATTTAAGCTGGTATCATCTTTTGATGGGCGTTGTGAGGGTGCTATAACCTTCTTCACACGTAACCGAACTCCCGAACCCTGTTCTGGTTAGTAGACCTGGACCTATTCTTTTAGGGACCCTTAAACTTAAGTGTTCCCTGAAATGACAGATTTCTTAGGTGGTCAATCGTACTTAGATAAAAAAGATTGGTGGCGACTCCCTTAAGTTAATGTCTAGCGATAGATCCTCAGATCTAGACGTTATGACAGCTTGGTGACTCCACTGGAGACTTTAAGAGTCAGGCCAGCAAATAATCTGTGTTATCCCAAAAGCCTAATAAAATTGAACCTTTTTGTATATATGTGTTATTATTCATTCATGTTTATTTGCTTTGTTAATTATGTCATTCATACGCATGTACATAACATGAGCTCTACACCAGAGCTTCATCCTTCTAGGAGGGAGTAAAGTACCAATTACTTTCGTGAGGTCTAATGCCTCCGTAGTGGCTAGCGAAATACTCCCACTCAAATTGAACATTTTTCGCTTGTAACCTGTAATAGGTGAGGATTAGGGTGCCTTACTAGTTTGTGATGGATAAGGATGTAAGGAACAATTTGAAGACCTTTAGACTTTGACCTTAAAATCGCATATAGTGAACCTTAAGAGTGTCTAAACCTAGGATAGAGCCCTTTCTACCAATGATAGATATATCCTGAAATTAAGACACAAAAAGGGTGTTTATCTAATCATTTTGATTGTTTAACTTTATGCATCATTTTCATTATCATATGTAACATTGTGCATCAGCATCACTTTCATTTCATCCATGAAACTAACTAGGTTATTTGTCTGATTGTATGCATCTGTATTACTTTCATGATCATGTTTTAACACAATCATTTGCATCCATTTCATATTAGATTTCATTAAAAAAAATATACATTTCATTCGTGCATCAAAGCATCATACATAAAGCATAGCATAACATTTTTAATCATAATTATGGTGCTAAAGGTTCAAAGATAGCTTCATCTAGTGAGAACCTTGCCCATCGATATAACACAAGATCTAGAGCAAGACAAATAGAGCAGAAAAATTTTCATAGATTTGAAAAGATAGAAAAAACATAAGAAAAGATTGAAAGTGAGCTGAGTAAGATTATTGATACTCTTAATAAGCTAAATAAGGGAAAAAGAGTTGAAGAAGATACAAGCCAACAAGTTTCCCTCGTTGTAAGAAGTGACTGACCTTTTATATCATTCAGGTTTTGGCCCACCTCAAGCTCAGTCTACTCAAGAGGTTTCACCGTAACACTTCACATATCCAACATATCCTGAAATACGGTCAGCTTCCAACCCAGGGTATTATAATAGCTATGTAAATCTTGTCTTTACTGAAAAGACAATAAAACCAATTCCTGATCTAGATGGTTTGAAAGATAAGGAGAAAGAAAAGGTAAAAGTAAAAACTCAAGAAAGCTCCAAGATTAGTATGTTAGAGTAAAGGCTACGGGCTGTGGAAGAATTTGATTTTTATGGGTCAGTTGATGCTGTTGGACTCTGCCTAATCCCTGATATGGTTATCCCTCATAAGTTCAAAGTACCAAAATTTAAAAAATATGATGGTATGAAATACCCCAGAACTCACATCACTATGCATTGTCGAAAGATGGTAGCTCATGCTCATGATGAAAAACTCTTAATGCATGTCTTTCAGGATAGCCTTACTGGCTCTGCGGCCAGATGGTATGTTCAGCTAGACAGAACCCGCATTCGCTCTTGAAGCAATATTGCACATGACTTCATCAGTCAATATCGACATATTATCGATTTGGCCCTTGATCGTTTGTCCTTACAGAATCTGAAAAAAAAGGCAAACGAGTCTTTTAAAGAGTATGCCCAGAGGTAGAGAGATATTGCTTCTCAAGTACAACCTTCTCTGACTGAGAAAAAAACTACAGTGTTATTTATCAGCATTTTGAAGTCTCCTTATTATGAAAAGATGATAGGGAATGCAACAAAAAATTTCGTCGACATGGTGATCTCTGGAAAAATTATTGAAAGTGTCATAAAAAATGACAAGTTGAAAGGAGGAGAAACCAAGAAGGCATCAGAAAAGAAAGAAGCTCAAGCTCAAGCTGTGAGCTTTGATAGACAATAATTCAGGGTTATCAATCCTATCCATCCCAAGGTTACTCTTCATACTATCTTGCTGTGAATAATATCTCAATCCTACCCATACCAACCGCTAAGCTCCAGCATTATTCTGCCTTATTGCATCCATATACCGATTAATTTTTAGGCCCTTAAGATCTTACATATAGCCTTAACATTCAAAGCCCCTGCAAGAACCCAATTCGCGCTCTATTTATCCAGCAAGTGGTTCACGGAGAACAACGGACCTACTCGAGAAAAACTTGTATTTGAACCAATCCCTATGACTTATACAGAGTTATATCGAGAACTCTATACTAACCATTTGATTGCCCCTAGCCATGTGAAGCCGCTTAAACCACCTTATCCAAAGTGGTACTCAATCTTACAGCCCGCTGTGACTACCATGATGGAAATTACTCGCCATTCTACTAAAAATTACACTGCTTTAAAGGCATAAAGTGGCAATGGTTGATCATGATGGAATGGTAAGTTTTGATCAGAAAAGTAACAACACCTAATGTTAGCGTTCTGAGTGAACAGTCAAGAATAAAAAAGGATCCGGAAAGTCACAATGGAATTAGGGACAAGATGTCAATAGAGATTCTTCACCTGATCGCATAGGGGGATAATTTTAAAGAATGGAGATAAGGCTGGTTGAAGGTTTCTTTTGTCATTTTAGGATTTTTTTTCGAGTAATTGTTAGATTTCTTTTGCAATATGATTTCACCTGTTATCATCTTAATAAAGGCAAGTTAATGCATTTCATTACATTTTTCTCTTCATTTGACCATTACTCCATGCTTTGTTACCTTTCATAACTTATACTCCCATTCTCAAATTTCAGATGATGAATATTTAGACAATGATAATAATAATTCTGGGATTTAATTTTGAGAACTCATCCACATTAATATGAGGAGATGATTTGACCAAAAAAAAAAGGTAAGCCATTACCAGAAGTGAAAGAGATATGTCTTGAAGACATGTAATCTTTTATACAGGATCATGAGCTTTATTCAATAGATGATGTTCAAGAAACGTATTCATAATTGAGATGA